CCCGACAAACAGAGATCTAGAAAATTTAGAATAGATCTAGATCAAGTCACAAGTTTACGAGTCTCAATCCCAATCCACCTTTTCTCGACCAAGCACGCTGGTGAAATGAATGGGAAACGAACCGCCGAACGCCTTGACTTTTGGGAACACCGAACGGCCTTGATTTTGAAAATACGTGCCCCTAACAATCCAGTGTTATGCGGGCGTACGTGTGCCTAACAACTTCCAAATTTTATTTTGAATTATTTTGAGGGTGTTATTTTTAAAAAATATTGCAAACTGCTTTTGAAAGGTGTTAAAATCTATTTTCTCTCCCCCGTTATGTTTTACCATTGAGAGAAGATGAAGGAGAGATGGGAGGAGGGGTGGGGGGGAAACAAAGAGAGAGAGAGGAAAGAAAGAGGGAGAGAGAGAGAGAGAGGGGGGTAGAGAAGAAGAGTCAAGGGATAGACAGGGGAAAGTGGCAGGGTATCTGGAGGTATCCAAAATCCCACGCTGGGTTGTAATTATCTTGTAATTGTAATTAATGTTTTACGCCCCTATTTATCAAAGATAGAACATTTAAGAGGCGGGCTGCGTTGACCATGCTTGTCAGGGCAAATCTGATATGAGAGGGACAACCAGGCATGCATCCAACAGACAGTCGACGTGCGACGGCGAAATCTCTACCCATTCCGTCTTGTGGCGTCACGTGGGTTGCAGACAAGGTGGTGCATAATTGGAAAGTGAACAAATGGGCAGTAGGCTTAGTAGCTACTACTAAGATTTGTAGAGAAAGTCAATTAGAATCTGAAGGATATCCCGCAATTTAAATATTTCTATATTTACAACTGTTTCTTGATGAAACCACATAAAAGCATCCATAAAGTGAAACAATACTAACAACTCACTATGCTCACAATCTGAGAAGATTTAAAGATTTCTAATTACTTCGTGCAGCACCAGGACTTCCTACGCAATAGAGGGAGACAACAGTTTCGATACCCATTCTTCTTTGAGTTACCGTAGACTCTACACTTAGTGCAGTAGATAGGCTCGAGGAAACTTGGATAAAATTTTTAGTTTGCACCAAACTGGTGCTGCGAAGAGCAGTTTCATGCACCTTTCTTCTTGCGCGGGAAGAACGATGCCTAGATTTCTCTACAGTGACAAAAATAACTTTGGTGCAAAGATTGTTCTTGCTCCCAGCAGACACTACCGCAAGCGGTGCTACGAGCATAAACCATCCTCGCCGTCTGTCTCATCACTGGCGCAGCCAGCGGGTGACGGATCGCAAGGATGTTGTAGGCCTAAGGTAGATCTATAGCACTGACTGGTTTAGAACAATTAGAAAAAAAGGGGGGGAAGGGGGAGTGAAGGCCAGGGTTAGGTGGAGCGCTTGCACCAATTGCACCAATGGCGCCCCGCCACTGATTCCGTCACCTCAAAGATCGTACACTATGATCTTTGATCACATACGCCGGTATTGGGTCGTTATGAGTACTGTACATCGAAAACACCTCCTTTTTAATTGATTACTTATAGCTCTTAAACGTGTGTCCTGTATATAAAAAGAAGCCTATACTTGCTTACCGCTAAACTCACACAGCTGAGTGACACTAAAGTTCATATTATGTAACATTAAGTGTCACGACGTGGTGGAATCAGGTGCTCGTCAAATTTTGGACATGTGGAGTTAATGGTATCATCTTAAAGCTTGTTCATTAGCCTATCTTTTAAAGAAAAAAATACCCTTTTAAGTTGAATTAATGTCGAGACATTTTCGATTGAAGGAATGGGGGTCGCCTGATTTCAGCATGGAAATGACCACCAAAGATTGATGACTTCCAAAGCTTGAGAATCGTTAAAAACTGAATATTTACTTTTATATGCCTGTAATCAATGTTTTTCTGTAAAATCCACAAAGAAATGAGTTTTTTAATGAAGATAAAACGTGTTGAGCAAAAGCAAGAAAAATAGAAAAAAATTGCTCGTCGGCCAAAAAATGCCGGTTTCTTTGATTTACTTATTTTGACGAGCGCCTGATTTCACCACGATGCCCCACTTATTGTCTTTCTAGGATTTGGTAGTAGAGAAACAGCTCAGAAGGTTTAGGCAAATTAATGCTTGTCAACCTCTCAAAAGGCAACGTCCACCTTTGCCACATTCAAGAGGATGAGATTTTGGAACGGCCCATATAGCTTACATGTACATACATTTCCGTCAGACAATACTGCTTGTACCAGTCATTACCCGGCTGATCCCCAATCTCACCCAAGTTATCAAATCGGCCACTAGTGGACGATATCGCCCATATTGGCAATAAATCCCTGAATTTGTATGTTCTGCTTTAAAAAGAAAAAATACGAGTAGTCTGCTGTCTTATACTTAAACATGTACGTGTATACTATACTTCGTATTCTGGATTTAACAATAAGGTGAACAGTAAACTTCGTTATTTGCATGCTTGCTTGTTTGTTTGTTTGTTTGTTTGTTTGTTTGTTTGTTTGTTTGTTTTGCTTCTTGTTGTTTTTTGTTGTTACTTTTCTGATTTTGGTTGTATATTATGTTTTGTTTTATTTTGTTTTTGCTTGTTTGTTTGTTTTTATCGTTTGTTTAATTAAGGGGGGGGGGGGGGGGCTACACCCCCAAAGTCAAATTTCGGCTCAAAATTATGGAATTTGAGTTGTAGGCATTTTTAGCAGTCTCAGCCTCTCCTACGACTATTTCATCGCCTAAGAACCCCCCAAAAAACATATTTGTTCCCATACCGGGCATGTTTGTGACCGCCATTTCCTCATAAAGTCAGTATTTTATTTTTCTTTATCGGCTGTTTTCTCAAAA